TTTGTCCTGCCTTTGTCCCGCATTTTCTTCGATATTTTAAAATTAGCTTTTCCTAATCGAAATAAAAGCAGTGTCGTTAACTAATTGATAACTACATAAGGATAAGCGGGTGTTGAAGGTTCAACTAGTCAATGCGTTCTAAATATTGTACGGTTATGGACAATGGATGACGAGAAATTGAAGACCAGCATCAAATATATCGATAACACTGTTCTACAAATTTTGTGGTAATCGCTTAACAAAAAAAAAATCCAAGCCAATTTTCCTTTCAAACAAGCGTTTTCGTAAATTTTTCGAAAAACGTGTTTTTGGTACATTTCGAACCTATTCGTCAATATCTCATGAAAAAATTATCCAATCTACATAAGCTACCTCTTACACAAATATATTACTTTGCCGATTTCGATGAAAATTATTGGTGTTACAAGCGACCAAAATCGAAAAATTGAAATTTCAATCATTTTCTTTTTACAGTAAATGAAAATCTGATGAGAAATGTAGATGTTACGGAACACAATCTACTCAAAAAATATATATTTTTGCAAAGAGCCCATCAATAGCTTTCGAACTGTTGGTCGTTTCATGAGATATTGAGGAATAACTGAAAAAGTACTAAAAATACGTTTTTCGAACAAATCTCGAAAACACTTCTTTGAAACCATGGGTATTTTTTCGTGTTCAACGACCCAAAGNAAATGTGATTTATGTTTAAAGTTTAAAATTGGATTAATAATTAAGAATTATACACTCTTCGTTATTTGAATAGCGCATCCTTTTAATACAGGTACAGTTTTCCTTTTGTTTGTTTAATATTCATTAACTTTTTATAAAAATATAGCATATTCTACGTCTACATCCCATTTTAAAAAGTTTTGAAAACTAAAAACAAAAAATAAACATAGGGGCGACAGTTTTTTTGACGGTGCTGCGCATTTTCTTCCATATACAAATTTTGTCAAGAATACTTTGTATGGTAGAAAATCAAAAAAAGGGCGCGCTATTCAAATGACGAGGAATGTATATATGTAGTATATTTTTGTTATTTTTATACTACGCAATTATATTTAGGTAAATTTTTTGAAAAATTGTCCAGCATTTTCAAAATATATTTATGGTCACCGAACTCATAACGGATCTTTTCAGCTCAAATATTAAGGGCCAATAGGAGTACTCCAAGGCAAACAGTTCAAACAGTCATACTCCAGATTTTTGTTTGTTAGGGCCAAATTCACAGCCAGGGTTACCACTGAAAAACTTTCTTTCCTACCAAGAGCTTGTTCAAAAGCCTACAAAAATGGATTCTTTGCTACCATTTATTTTAATCAAGGAAACGACGTTTGACAGCATTAAAAACATTGATTTTTGCTGGTTTTATACTTAAAATGAGATTTCCAGGTAAACAAACAAACCATGCAAAACATGAGAAATAGGCAACAATCGTCAATGGCAACAAATTGGCGGCTCACCGATTTATTGCTGTGGCGACAAATTGGCAACATCACTTCGTTCATGTAAATTTTGAATAAATATAAGTTCTCAAAAATTCCAAAGCTTATGAATATGGCGTCAACAGTATTGTCCAAAAGCATCTAATTTATGCCCAAGGACAGGATTGAAAAAATGGGAAGCCCCATAGCGAGAAAAGGAATTAATTCCGATTGTAAGTTCCAATTTTGTATACAAAAAATAAATGAAGTATTAAAAAGAATAAAATTATTTCAAATATTGCCTCAAGCGATAAGAAAACGACTCATTCAGGTAATTAGAAAATTACTCGCCCAGGCGAGTTGCCTTCGGCGGACGTTTTAGAGCGACTTGTAATAGGAAATCGATTCGATGACAATATTACCGGTTTGGTGGGAAAAGTCCGTTTCACTCCTACACCCTCGAAATTTCGCGTACATTATGAAAAGCCGAAAAAATGGCAAAAAATTCGCATAGTTTCTAATTTTAATAAAGCCTTCGGAGTAAATGACGTGGAAAATCGTAGCAGAAAATAAAATTCCGTCGTAGATTTTTTACACATGCTTATTTGCATACATATGTATATTGTGAAGTATATATACATAAGCAAAGTAAAAAGACACCTCATGGTTAGGCTTGCCAAATGGCCGGGTCTAGGAGCCTCCGGGCTTGGGGCAAAATCTGTGTGCTGCGGGTTTGCCATTGATTTCTTCGAGATGAGGTTAAAAACTTTGAGATTCTTCGATTTTCTGGAAATATGACTAACAATAAGTGTTTTCCTTTTAATTTTCGTGTATGATAAAAAATAACATTATCCCACCCGACCAACGTACACGAGAATGCATCCGTTTTAGAAATTTTAGCAACATTTTCGCGTACAAAACTACTGAGAACGGGTTCCGAAAAATGATCGTAAAGTATTACCTGTCGCTCAGTTTGTGGCAGCAGAGCTCTCGTTCTCGTCATACGTGTTCAAAAGTTTTTGCGTAGTGCTTTCGATAGCGAAACCGTATCTCAGATGGAAGTTATTTCGATCCGTTTTGTTATCGAGATGTTTTAGATCTGTCCGATTATCGAGAATGTAGTGAAAACGAAATTCATTTCGATCCGTTTACCCATAGAGAATACATCGAGAGAAGAATCGAAAGCAAACATTAAAACTACTAGTTTACGATAATTTGAGCTGTTCCATTCCAGTTTATTCCCATATAAAAATAGTGCTTTTAAAATTTTAACAGTTGCTTTATATTTAACATAATGGAAAATTACAAGAGTTCAGTTTTCTGAAGTTTTAAAACAAAAATTAAGTTTATATAAACGTATTTAAATGCAATTTTAGAAAATTTCTTAAAAATTTAGATAATAAATATCCATTATCTAAAATTTATACCATGTAATGCAATTAAAACTTGTTGATATTGTTTTAGGAAAATACATAACAGCTTGTAAAAAATATTATCAGTCTAATTGAAATTTTAGTAAACTCGATTTATCATTATATTTACCTTTTAATTTTTATCATTCAATTCTTTTCTACACTTGTACTTAAGTACATATACACACGCAACCTTGTTGTATATGAATATGTATATAGTTTTCCCTTTCATATCCACTGTAAATATATTCATAAACCATTTATTCAATTTCATGTTAAATACTTCTGAACCTGGAATAAAGTGACTAAGTAGTCTTTTCTATGAACTCGAGAGAATCGGTCGTTCAAGTATTAAGTATTTTGTTCATGGTGCCGAAACCCGGGAGCTTTATCGAATATGGAGAAAATACGCAGGGCAGTTTGCCGAACGCAAATCGCTAAGTTGTGCAATGATGCAGAGCTACTCCTGGCAAATGGAGATCGCGGCGAGAATTCCGTGGTGCTGGTATCGCGTATTAAAGCATCCAAAGAAAACCTTACACTAGCTAATGAAGCAGTTTTAGCGTTGAACGACGAGAAGGATAGTACAGAGGCTGAAATCGAGCGGATGGTGGAGTATGATGATGTGGCGGTAACCACTGTCGCACGATTGGAGCACGCATTAAGTAAAAATATTACGACAGCGAATGCGGTACAAATGATTAAAAGTGACAATGGAGCTACTAGTAAAAGCGTGAAATTAAAGCCGATTACACTGAAGAAGTTTGACGGGAGTTTTGATAAATGGATACCGTTTTGGGAACAGTTTAAAGAAACGGTACATGAAAACTTAAGTTTGTCATCAGCGAAATTTAATTACTTGAGCGAGGCGCTGGAGAAAAACGCGGCAAATACCATTGCGGGGTTTACTCCAACGGAGAGATGTTATAACGAGGCCATTTCCCTTTTGCAGGAAGAGTATGGCAATACTGATAAAATTGTAGAGCAACACATTCAAAAGCTGTTGGCGTTAAAATCAATTCAATCAGCGCGTGATGTTAAAGGTTTGCTAGATCTTTATAATGATGTAAATTCCACCATGCGAACGCTATCTATTCTAAATGTTCCATCCAGTAAATACGAAATCGTAGTCAAATCGGTTTTATTGAGAGCGATACCTTCGTACTTACGTATTACGTTCTATAAAATTGAAAAACGCGATGGAATAGATACAAATGGCGACGAGCAATTAAAGCAGCTCTTACTCTTTATAAGAACAGAAGTAGAAGCATTAGAAAAATCGCATATGTCAGAAAATAAAGATGAAAGAAGAATTAGGGATGCCACTAAACAAACAGCGGAACAAAAAAGGGAACGGCACTGGGACTACTTACCGGCGCACAGGGTGTCAAAAGGCAGTGCGTATTTTGTAAGGATGCAAATCATGACACTAATTCTTGCAACAGTAATATGTCCACAGATTTAAGAAAAAAATTATTAACAAAAGAAGGCCGTTGTTTTAGATGTGCGTACCGAAACCACACGTCTAAATTTTGTAGGAGTCAGTGGGTTAAATGCGAGAAATGTGGCGATAAACACATAACTCCATTGTGCGAAAGAAGTATGCCAAAAAATAGAACGGAACAATCACGTGATGGTAGCGACAAATATAACAAATCGGACGTCAGCTCCAGTTGAGCCGTAACCCCGGCAAATTCTCTTTTAACAACGGCATTTCAATCAGCGAGTTCAGAGAGTGACGAGATATTTCTTCAGACCGCTAAAGCCATAGTTGAAAATGAGCGTACGGGTGAAAGAGCATTTACGAGAATAACTATGGACAACGGTAGTCAGCGCACCTATATTAGCGCCAAATTAGCAAGAGAATTAGAGTTAGCTATGGTAGCTTATGAGAAAACATGTATACTGGCATTTGGCGACAGCTGTGAGAACAATAATGCACAAAAGCTCAAGCGAGTTAATATTGTAGTAAAAACTCAATACAACGAAAAAACAAAAACTATTAGCGCGATCGTCGTACCGAGTATTTGTGCGGACATACTACCGGTTCCTGAAATAAAACAAAAAAAAACTCCAGTGGATGAATACAACGTTAGCCGAAAACCATCTCTGTAACGATAAGTATGTGAGAGGAATGAATATTCTTATTGGGCAAGATAATATGTGGAAATTCATTGGAGGTGAGAGCGAAAAGATAACAGATGATTTAACTGCAGTAAATACCTTCTTTGGATGGACAATTCAGGGATGTTATGGAGATAATGATAAAATTCACTGCGTTTTAAACACTTTACAAACACACGAATACACATTTGACGTAGCTAAATTCTGGGAAATCGAGTCGATTGGTATTAACGCTCCACGTGAACCTGCACAAGTGGACGTAAAAATATACATAAATGAGATTACCAAGCGTTATGTTGTGGCGTTGCCATGGAAAATTTCCAGCGAGTATTTGCACGACAATAAGCAAATGGCCCGAAAACGACTTCGAGATTTAACAGCGAGGCTTATGAGAGATCCACAAAAATTAAGAGAATATCATGAGGGTGTGGAGGAGTTGTGGCATAGCGGTGTTTCTGAAAGGGCCAATGAATTTAATAATAGCAATTCAACTGTCTATTATATGCCGCATATGCCTGTGTACCGAGACGACAAATCTACATCAAAAATGAGAATCGTTTTCGATGCTTCGTCATGCCAACCAGGTAAAACGTCATTAAATTACCATTTAAGCACCGGCAAAAATTGTGTGGCCGATTTGTTAAAAATATTGGTGAAGTTTCGTTTCGATAAAATAGCTTTGACTGCCGATATTGAGAAGGCATTCTTGCAAATTGAGATTGCCGACAGCGATAGAGACGTTCTAAGATTTTTGTGGTACAAAACCTTGCCGACCATGAATGAAGAGCTTCCGGAGCTAGCAGAATATCGCATGCAGAGGGTCACGTTTGGTGTCACGTCCAGTCCATTCTTGTTAGCTACTACTATTCAAAAGCATTTGCAGGTAAACGAAGCCAAATATGAAGGAGTCAGTAAGCATCTCGAAAAGTCGTTTTACGTGGACGACATGGTCAGCAGCATCGCAAACGAAGCGAAGGCAATCCAATTCTTCAAAGGAGCAACTGATATTATGAGCGGGGCAAAATTTAATTTGCGTAAGTGGAACTCGAACAGCTTATCGTTAAAATCATTACTTGTAGAAAATAAACAAGAGCCACCGTTGGTTCAGAAAGTGTTAGGAATTGTTTGGAACACCATGTCGGACGAGATATCTATTGAATTCGATAATACCCTTAACTACATTCAGAAATTAAAACCGACGAAGAGAAATGTGTTAAAAACAATGGCAAGAATTTATGATCCCTTTGGCATGTTGGCACCATCCACTGTACGTATAAAATTGTTGCTGCAAGAATTGTGGAAGGAAAAGGTTGAGTGGGACGTGGTCATGCCTGATGAGAAAACTAAAGTGTTTGAAAATTGGCGAAGAGAGTTACCAATTTTAAGAGCATTCGCATTACCACGAAGGTTGACAACATTCGATAACGCTACGGTCGAATTACATATCTTCGCAGACGCAAGCCCAAAGGCTTAGTGAGCTGTTGTGTATTTGAAAAATATTGACCAAGACGGAAAAACTTCAGTTAATTTTATATGTGCGAAGAGACGAGTATCGGCTATCAGAGGTAATCAAGAGGTTGAACTAACCTTGCCGAAACTGGAATTGACGGCAGCGTTAATGGATGCAGGATTAAAACGTTTTCTATTAAGCGCTTTACAACTCCAGTATAGCAATTCAATGGATAAATGGCAGAAATAAAAACAACAATCAATACGTTAGAGCAAGGGTGGATGAGATTTGTAGTCTAACAGATACGCATGAGTGGCGACATTGCAGAGGTAAGGATAATCCAGCAGATTTATTGACTAGGGGAATAAATGCCGACGGTCTGAGGAATTCAAATATGTGGAAGCACGGACCTGAATGGTTAATGCAGTATACAGTGTGTTTGGATAAAAATTCTCTAGAAAAGTGCGCTGGGATATTTTTGAACGTGGAGCTTCAACCAAACGAATGCTGCGACAGCTTTCAATCCATCATACCGCTTGAAAAATTCAGCAAGATAAAGCGTTTGTTGAGAGTAAGATCGTATGTATTCCGATTTTTAACGAATATAAAGGCGAAGCACCAGCGGAGTTCGAACGACCAGCTTGACGTACCACCTCTTTCAGCGGGTGAGCTTAAAAACGCAGAGCTTTATTGGGCAAAGGAACAACAAAAACAATACTTTCATGCAGAAATTAAGGCATTAATCGATAATCAAAAGCTTCCATCTAATTCCAAATTAACTTCGTTTAATCCCTTACTAATTAATGGGCTGTTATGTGTAGGTAGTCGCTTGCCTACAGAAGTGTTCGGCAGCGAGAGTAGTCCAGCCATTTTAGTCACCTTTTAGTTGTAGAAGCACACCATGCGACACTTCATGGCGGCGTCAACGCAGTACTGGCTCAGCTAAGAAAGAAGTATTGGATCATACAAGGACGTCAAATGATTAAACGTATTTTACGAAGCTGTATAATTTGTAAGCGTGTGCATGGTCGGCTAGGATCGGAGCCGTGGACAGTTGTACCAATCGAAAGAGTAACCACATCTAGGCCATTTGAAACTACCGGCATAGACTTTGCTGGCCCAGTATACGCGAAATATGAAGGCGACCAACAAATTCGTAAAACATACATTTTGCTGTTTACTTGTTCTTAAATTAGAGCCGTACATTTAGAGTTGGTTTTAGATATGACGGTGAAAAGCTGCATCGGAGCATTAAGAAGATTTATGGCTAGGCGGGGTGTACCTGACATCATTATATCAGATAACGCCAGGACGTTCAAACGAGCTGATATTGAGTTCAGGAAATTAAAGGCCCTCCTGAAGAAACCAGATTTACAAAATTTAGCGGCAGATAAAGGAATTAAATGGAAATATATACCAGAAAGAGCCGCATGGTGGGGCGGATTCTGGGAGCGTCTGGTCAAAAGCGTCAAATTGGCGTTGAAAGCAGCTGTGGGCAAATCGTTACTTGACTACGATAACTTGTCAACACTGTTAGCAGAAGTCGAATGCATCGTGAACTCCCGGCCGCTAACGTATATTTCACAAAACTTTAATGATTTGCAACCATTGTCACCGTCCAAGTTCTTAAACGACTGCAAGTCAATATTGACCTCAGCCGAATTCGACAAGGACGACACCGACATCATCAAGTCATGGCAGCTTCGTCAGCATTTGCTTAAGCGTTATATGCGACAGTGGCGTGGAGAATATGTTACTCAGCTACGCAACTTCCATCAAATTAAAAATAAATCTATTCGCAGTATCAAGGTTGGTGACGTCGTTACCGTTCAAGAAGATTATAAGCCTCGGTTTATGTGGAAGCTGGCAGTTGTGCAGGCAGTATACCCTGGGCGTGACGGAAGAATCAGAGCCTGCGATGTACGATTGGGGTCTGGAACTGTAATGAGGAGGCCAGTGCAACTCTTATGCCCATTGGAATTATCAATTCAGTGATGCCCGGGCGGACGATGTAAAAAATATTATCAGTCTAATTGAAATTTTAGTACACTCGATTTATCATTATATTTGCCTTTTCATTTTTATCATTCAATTCTTTTCTACACTTGTACTTAAGTACATATACACACGCAACCTTGTTGTATATGAATATGTATATAATTTTCCCTTTCATACCCACTGTAAATGTATTCATAAACCATTTATTCAATTTCATGTTAAATACTTCTGAACCTGGAATAAAGTGACTAAGTAGTCTTTTCTATGAACTCGAGAGAATCGGTCGTTCAAGTATTAAGTATTTTTTTCACAGCTGGCTATAAAAACAAATCATTGAATTGTTCTTATGGTATGTTCTACCGTGTTCGATTAGGCTATGTAAATATGCACTCACAAATTTTTCAAATACTTCTCCGTTCTTCTTCTAGTCTATTTATTTCTTTTATATTTGGGACAGGAGACGGGGGAACTATTTCACGGTCAATGGATACTTCTCCCTAAACTATGGCTTTTATGGAAGTTACCTCGTTCGTATTAATGCAATTGCCTCGAACGGGATTTTGGAATTGTGCTATTTGTGTGATAAGGATGGTTAGTGTAATAGTTAAAAGTATTTATCCTGCAGAGGAGTTTCAATACTTACTCCGATTTATTATATGGTTCCTTAAATTTTTAAATTTGATTTATTGCATTAACACATTTTACGTTTTTAATGTTTTGAAAAATTCTTACAAAATGTTTACTAAAGCGATGTCTACTTCTATATACATTTGGAAAAGTTGGGGAAAAATTATAAAACGAATACGTTATCGATACAATCAAGGAATAGAAAAGCAAAAATACAAACTTCCATTTGAAATACGAGACTCTTGGGTGAGGCTGAGCTCGAGGGTAAGACACGTTTCTTGGTCGGATGGGATCTTTAAACAAGTACATTTGCTATGTAGTAGGCATTTGAATCGCTGTTCTAATGCCATTTAAAATATTTTAACAACCGTGTCATTGTTGAAACTATTATCGATTCGCAACTGAAATTTAAAAAAAAATATCTGATTTATAAATCTTCCTTTACATCCATCAACTCAATCACTAGATATTGCTTTAGATCAGCCCTGCCGGATGTACGGATTTTTCTGTACAGTACGGATTCGCAGGGGTGAAAATGGTTGCACGGATTCAATCTACGGATTTTTAGCTTTCCGTCAAGATGTACGGATTTTTGTAGTGCTTTTTCATATTGTAAAAATTACCTGTTTTACACATATGTTACAGGTTTCTTATAGTTCCTGAACCCTTTTTTATTAAAACAATGCGTTATTTTCGTACTTAAGGGAGGATTCATCTATTAACAGCTTGACTATTTTTCACCCGATTTTAAAACTCAAGCACAAGAAGAGAATTTATAGGCCTTTAAAATTATGTATAATAATCTATTGGTAGACTTTCATTGTTGGGAGTTTTTGTAGCGTAAAATTAAAAAAAAAACCCCTAATTTTTCTTATTTTTTCAACTTTAACTATCGCTTCAAATGTTATACTGTTACTTGGTAGCGTCGACAGTTTTGGTAGGTAGTTTTGTTACATGGTCATAAACTAATGGCGTTTTCTTTTCTACAAAAAAAATGTTGCCTTCTCAGTGGCCTCTATGTACAAATACAAAGGAAGGGGCAATGGGAATTCAACATTTTCTTGTAGAAAAGAAAACGCCATAAGAACAGACTGCTTGTTAAAAAGTTCTAGTCAGAAAAATAATAAGGTTGTCTGTGAAGCAATCAATAAATAGGACCAGTGGAAATATGTGTTGCTTTATTTGATGTTATTAAAAGTACGATTCCTGTGTTCACCTAAGAACAATCGATTTTTTTTTCTCGCCAAACAAATTTGAGCGTACGGATTTTGTACGGATTTTTCACCCACAACTTTTTGTCCGTGTACGGATTTTAGACTCTAAACGTCTGGCAGCTCTGCTTTAGATATGCAGTTAATCAAACTTTTTATAGCGTCTACGAAGTTTAGAGAATTGCCGAATGTAATTGTTAAAATTCTGCGCATACCAGTTAGCAACAATTTTTGTTAAAGGTGTTTGATATAACGGCAAACAAGTGGACCCATGCAAGAAACAGAATGAGGGTGTAACTGATATTGTCCCAATTTGACAACCCTACTCACAGTGCTGACAGGGATGTTTTCTGTTTTATGAGCAAAGAAACCTACCAAAATTTTAAGCGTCTTACCATCCTACCAATGAAAAAAAGACCTACCACTTTTGGTAGGAAAAACCCAAAATGGCAACCCTGTTCATAGTGCGTAGTTAACCACTGATAAGAGTTTAACCCTTATTTTTGTATCCGACGTCTAGGGTCAACTATCGATTTTGATATTCACAATGCTCCGTTAACAAAAGTTTAAACCAGCTTGTCTCCATAGTTTAACTCTTGTGATATTCATTTTTCTTTGTGAAACGAGTTTCGTATTTGTATAGAAAATTTTTTTGTTTAAATTTGAATATTTTCAGGTGAAATGAATTTTCATGTGACTCTAAATATAAATAGTAAAGTACTGTGAATTCGGCTCTTAAAGTTCTGAACAAAACCTAGCCTAATTAACCTTAAATGACAGGAACATTTTTTTTTATTCGATTTTGGACTACTAAAGTAGTGTGTAAAAAATTTTACCGAAATCCGTAGAGCCGTTTTGGCAAAAAGTTGAAAAAACTTGTTAATTTTGTATGCCTCTTTGAGATTGGCGAAGGCATAAGTAAAGAAAACCGCCCGTTTAGCTATAAAAAAAAAATTAAAAATGAGGCTCGATCAGAGTGCCCAGATTGTTTAAAAGAAAAGAGCCATTTCTGAAAAAAATCGCCAAAGTTTTTTTTTATAAAATTTATGAAATCGGCTCAAAAAATATTTTATTTAAAAAATGAGATCTTGTTATAACATAGTTTTTAAAACTAAAAACGAATATAAGGCCTTAAGGGTAATAATAAATAGCACAAATCACTTATATGATAGTGATGTACAAACAATTTTCTTTAAAAATATTCAGGCACTGAAGGCGAGTCAATTAAAGACATATTTAGTTCGTTTTTTACCCTAACCGAAGGGGATTTACTTTATTGTAGTACAACGTAGTTTAAGTACCAATTAGCTAATTTAGTTTAGTAAGCAAAGAAAAATGCGTTGTTTCGTCGAGTCCCGTGGCAGGTAAACAGAGTACGCGTGCCACCGGTACAGCCATAGGGATCATATTGATATCACCCAACTCCCGCGGGATGCGGGTTCGACAGCCTTGATCTAAGTCAATGTGATTACAAATTTGAGGTGTTACTTTGGGTAACTTTGCCACTCTCTATAGGTATAAAGGCCCGTCGTCTTATAACTTTGACGTCGATTTGGTGTTCGCCTCGCTCGTCAAAATGTGAATTTGTCAACATTTAACTTTCCAATAAGAAACGTAGTTAATTTTTTAATTGTAATTAATTGTGGGCTAAGTTTTAGAATATTTTAGCGCACCTAAAGCTCTGTCGTGGTACATGGAGCAATAAGCAGGTGAATTAATAAAACAGCTTTCTTGCTTTATGTTCTGTCATTCGGCTATTTCATACAAAATTTTAAAGCAAATTCTCAAATAATTTAGCGTGAAATCAATATAAGAGGGCAATTCTGGAAACCGTCTTTCAACTCACCACAGTGTTCCGAAAGACAAAAGTCCTTCGTAAGTCAATTGTCAATTCTGGCAACTATCTTGAAAGCTCTTTACTGTCCTTCGAAAGACTAATTGAAAGATCTGCTAACGAGAAGGTCTTAGCGTTATGCTGTTCGCAACACGTTTTTTTTTTAAATAAAAGAATTTTAAAAATTATATATATGTTTTCTTTTTTAAATAATAATAACTAATAAACAAAAAAAAAGGCGTGAGTACTAGGTACTCATGAAATTTGATGTGTAAACATATGCCGACGGCAAAGCATAAAAGTACGTTAACATATAAATATAATCTCAATCAAAGCTCGTCAGCTGTCAAATTGGTTGTGCTTGTTATTCACACAACTCGGGGAAAAGTTAAACTTCTTCTCTGTGCCACCGTGGTCACTTTTCCTGCAACACATATTATGCCATTTAAATATATTTTAACTGAATATTTTATTAAAAATACCTTTACAAACCTATTTTCCTTACTAGCGTAAGTTTTTGTTTACTTTAACATTTGACATTCCTCCTCTCATTCGCAAGTATAACCGATAAAACTAGGTTGGACACCAAAAAGTTATCGGTTTAATCTGAGATATTTTTAATTATAATTTTGAATGGCTAATCTCTTTTTCTAATAACAGATTAGGGAGTTAAGCTCGAAAATTAGGATCATCTTTTTATATGTAAAGCTATTATTTAAGCTGACCAACCGTCCTCCTTTGAGGAGGATTGTCCTCCTCAAACGTGATTTGTCCTCCTCAAAAATTTTGTCCTTCTCTGTCCTCCTTTTGAGCAAAAATGTCCTCCTTTTCAAGTCTTGTAGCAGTAATGAACTTTTAAAAAAATTGCGTTCAGAATATTATTATTTTCTAATCGTTGTATTTAATAGGCGTTTACATTGTTCCAATTTCAGTTAAATGATGTAAACATTTGATTCAACTAATCGCCTGCGAAAGTTGAACAGTGTAACCGTCTTTAGCCCTAATCAATAATATTTTACCATTTACAAGATTGATAGATTAGCTAACGACGCGTCTCCACAGGTGGAAATTATTGCCTACCATATGTCATTTTGTTTGCCAGATACATACATATGTAGGTATAGGTTTTATCAGTGGCAAAATTTGTGTATGAGGATTTTTTATCTTGATAAATGGTTTTGTAAGATGGCTTAAAATAAGTATGTTCGTTGCATTGGAGCGCAAATCTGCTTAAAAATTTTTATAAAACGTGTTAATTCACATCCAAGTACGTAATCAAAAATAGCACAGGCCTGTGTAGTTTGCCCCTTAAAAAAATTAATTAG